TATCTCTTTTATTTCTGCGGAAATACAATGATTCTTATCGTTGAAATGAATGTTTGTTTCAGTAAATGTTATATTTCAGTTTTATATTATTATAAAATTAAAATTTTCATTGAACTGAATCAATATTTAATAAAATTCCTAATTTTATCATTTAATATATACTTATACTTCTTTCATGTAGAGTGCTTACATTCATTTCAGGTATCATATAAAGCTACATAAATATCTCATAATGCCTTTATTAATCATATTTTATTAACAAGTAACAATATATAATAATAAATAACGAATAATATCATTATTGATTTATTTTTATTAATCGATCATAAATTTAGAGTAAGCGGAGAACGTCTACCACGACGGTCCCATGGTGTAATGGTTAGCACTCTGGACTTTGAATCCAGCGATCCGAGTTCAAATCTCGGTGGGACCTGAAGCTGTTTTTTTTATTTAAAAATTTATTTTTTGCATCATTTTATAATCAAAAATCATCTTCTAAATAAAGCGACAAAATTTTTACAATAAAATGTTTAAATAAAAAAAGCGAACAGTCGTGCATCGATAAGTAGATATTGAAGCGTTGCTCGTAAAAGCACGTTACACGATACATAAGATCCGTATCTATTAGAATGGATAATATTTTAATGCATTTTCGTTGTTCGATTACTTTTTTAATGACAGTCGATGCGACACGACAGGTCGTCTTTCGTCGTTGATCGACACGTGATATCTCTATATCAACGACGCTTGTCGAATCGTCGTGTCTGCTGTGCTCGCACAATCGCTAATTATATTATATAATCGCACAGGTCCAACGCGAACGGACCTAACGCGATATATCATTTATTATACATGTAATTCGATAATTCACGAGAGGCGTAGACCACGCGTTATCGCGACATTTTCCACGAAACACGCAAGTTCTTCGTCGTCTTTGTATGCTTAGCACAGCCTTATCTAAAATCTATGAGTTGCAGTTAGCTGTCGTGTAGTTCGCGAATCAAAATTGCATCGAGCCACCAATTACCGAGAAAATTAAGCCTTTCCCTAACCACGTTGAAACATTGTAAGTAATGCATTTCCGATGACAGATTACGTGGTATACAACAGCGCACCATTAAATATTGATTAAAATCGTACAAATTAGAGGCATGTAGCCCTTTCATAACGTATCCCCTTCTTACAATGTTGCACATAAATTGATTTGAAAAATAATGAACGTTTATTACGTTGTACTTAGGAAAAAACTTTCCTTTGGTATGGAAATTTAATAATCCGCAATAAAAAAGAAACTATTTAATATTTAAAAAATTGATAATCTATTAAATCAGTAGCAATAAGTTGAGCTTCTTGGCCCTATTTATTATTAGAAAAATAAAAAAATGTTTGTGAATGTGTTAAAGTTGTTAAATCAAATTGAAATTGTAAGAGTAACGATTCTTAAATTCACTTTGCAACAATATAATAATCTTTCCGTTAGTTTGAAATTCTACAATCAAAACCGTGTTGACGATTCATGATATACTTTCATTGATATAACTCGTCCAGGCACGAAACCAATCATTCTCCACTCGTACGACAAACATATCCAGCACCTAACGTGGCCGTTCGTCATCAATCACAATTACAAAACGCCAACGCGAATAGTAAAATCACACAAATTACACGCTCGCCATTCTCATCGGGTGCTTCGCATACACGCGAACGCATTATTACCGAGCGTTTCCCGGTACCAGCATTAATCAACCAACGTCCATCCAATATTTCCATCGAGCCATGTCGCGCTCGTTCCATCACCCTTAAATCAGAATGAAAAAAAAAAAGTGTCGCGATGCTTGCAATTCGCGGCAATCTTCGTAAAACGAGATGACTCTACGGCAATTAACCTTTTCGAGGTTGTAATGTATATAAGTTACGTCTGATATTATCAGTCACGATTATTTCTTAACTATAGATAATTGAGCTTCAATTATGTACGTAGTTAGATTTTTCATTTTTCGACACGTTGAATGTTGCGACAATTATCGATGATTAACGACAATATTATAACTACGACATAAAGTGAGCAGTAATTTCGTATCAGAACGTATCAATCACACGAAATCCACAGGTGTTGATATCGTCTGTTTCGAAGACGTTTCGAACAATCGTCGAAGATAATCGCGCGAGGAATCGGCAATCAGGAATAAATGGATCGAATAAGTGATCGACGTTCATTAATCTCGTGGAAATGGCCGATTTCGCTAGTCAAAGATTCCCTTGAACGAGAACGGTTCGCGAAACGGGCGGCAGACTTACGACGAGCGGGACATTTTCCCGCGATCGTTACCGGAAGTTCATCAAGATGTGACAACGCTACCGTGAAACTGTCGCGCGCTCGTAAAATACTTTCTCAATTTAAATTTGAACGAGACGATCCCTTGGAAGTTTTCGGTTAACGAGCAGAACCCCGTATAACTCTGGCCGGACGATAAAATACCGACCCGTAATGACGGAACGTGTAATCGAGAGTCACACGAGCCATCCCTCTGACACTTTGCCCGTGGAATTGCATCGTCTGCGAATAGAGACGATCCTCTATGCCAGACGGAATCAGGATCATCGTATTTCGGTGTAGATCATCCTCGAGATCCTTTTAGATAGAGACTTTAAGGAGGTATTCGAATTTGAATAGCCATTTCTAACGCGATCTTGTCGAATTTATCTAACACCTTCATTGCTATTTGTAATTAGTAATCAATGTTAAGAACAAACCCCCTGTGGCTCGGGGGGCTTAGAATACGCCCACGGTATCCCCTGCCTGTTGTAAGAGGCGACTAAAAGGGTACACACGCACACACACATACACACACAGGGCCTGAAACAGGAGTTGTAAAAGTATGGCAAAATAGAGAAATGAAATTTAAAAATGCGCGGGGTTTGGAGGGGCAGAAAAGCCTGTAAGGGCGAAATTTGTGATAGGTGATAGGTGTTAAGAAGAACCATAAACCTAAACACACATAGGGTTTTGTATTTATATTCGGATATGTCTGAAATAATCAATTTCGACAAACTTCGTTAAATCCTGAGGTAATAAAATAAAAAGCAATCGCTCGAATCAGATCCTAAAAGCATTCATAATTTCACCAAGACGTTTTTCAGTGGAAGGAAAAAGCCGCTTTTAAACGGAGCAAAGTTACTTTATACCCCGATTTAAGGAATATCCAGCGTTGGTCATAAACCATAAAAGATTCCCAGTCATAACTCGAACGGTATCGCATTTTATTTAATTGCCCCCTCGGCACACTCTATTCTCGAACAGGGAGGCGTGGTTAAGCGTGCATAATATTATTTATTGCCGAAGAAGCTGTTAAACTTTAACGCGGCCACGCGCTCTCTTTCTATCGCGTGATTTAAACGCGATAAAACGTTTGTTATCCAATCGTGCCGCGGTTTGAGAAGTTTCCCTCTGAGATTCCGCTCGCTATCTCGCCCGGATAAGACGAGACTCCGCTCGCGGAGACACGGTTTTACAGCCGCGCCGGCAGTTTTCGAACTCGCTTATACCCGATTCGAACGAACTCGCCTCTATTCGACAATCACTCGAAGGCTGTCGATCAGTTAACGTGACTGCTCGCGGCTGCTCGTTGCGAGATAAATCCAATGTCGCGCGTAAATCCTGCTTAATTCACTGCTGCGTCCACTTTTATTCCGTACGGTGACGTTTCGATGCGCGGCAGGTGTGCTTGAATGGTTTACAGTTATCGGCTGACAGCTACTCGATACGATGATTGGAGAGGCTACGATTTCGGTGAAAGATGCACCACGGAATGTTGATGTACTTCATTTTTCAATATGATCGAATGGAAACTTTATTTGAACTTATTGTTAGAGAATCTCTTGCTGGTAGTTTGTTGATTGAACTCTCGGGCGGCGGACCATGGAGAGAGCCCAGTTTCAATTCAATTTTCTATTTTCTATTATTATTATTATTTTTTAAATTGTACACTGTTCTCTTGAAAATTATTCTTTCAGTATATGAAACCCTTACATTAAAAAATTATACATTTTGTAAATTTGGATCATAATTGATCAAGACATAATCGAATTTCACTTGCAATGACATTTTTTTCGGTGCTTTTCTAGAGGATTTTGATAAGATTTTGATATCATAATTTATGTCTTCGAATAATAGGAATGTCGTCTAACAGGGAACCGGATGTCAGTGCAAACATGCTCGAAACTTTGCATACTTTTAATAGACGCTTCCTCCTTCAGCCAATATCCCGTTTCGTCGTAAAACCCCAAACGCTTGAAAATTTATAGCCATCGCATCAATTATAATCCGTTTCATTCGAAAGTGGTGGGTACCAGGCCTAACCCTTCGCGATTCGCGAGACACCCTCGAACTTATATCGTAAAAACGATATTAGTCTTCATCCCTGTTTCCTTTCTTAGAGATGGGGACACGAAAGAAACGTCAGACGTTGGGGAACGTTTAAATAAGACGCGAAATTTTTTATACGTCGAAAGTGCGTGGCATCGCGTAAAAAGGTCTTCGTAAAAGAAAAAAAGAACGCACCCTGATGAACGAACCGGAAATAGCCCATCCGTCGTATCGAATGATTACAGACGAGGAACGCACAATGTCACGATTTAACTACCCCTTAAAAATTGTTTGTCTACGCGACGATTTAACAGGCTCGCGTATACGATCTCTCGTTTCGTTCCCCTGCTCGTTGCGTCGATTTTGCAACGGTATCCGCACCCCTTAAGGTGCGTTTTAATGTATGCACGAAACGACGACGACGGGTGGCTGCGAAGAGCGAACGTTTAGGATATCGTAATTCGGGGGGAAGAGTGAAATTGAGTTGTAAATGAAAGGTGCTTTTGTATAAAGAGGGTTGCTTGGGGTAACATGGGTTTAATAGGTCTGCCGATTTGTTGGTAATAATATAAAGGATTCTGTAATATTCTTTTGTATTCATTTAGAGGAGATTGAATATTCTGAGGATTAGTCCTTTTTACTGTTCTGATACTTTTACGATATATTAAGCATGGGCTATATTTTTTTAATATTTTTGCAATAATTAAAATTTGTAAACCAATTTGTGAAGCAATACTCCTCTTTCATCGTTCCCTTTTTCAATTTAAAACATTCGCAGATGCGACTTCCTGATACGAAACTGGGTTAAGAAGCTTTTGCTTTTGGTAACGAAAGATGTTGCTCCTAGATAGCGTTTGAAATATCTAGAAATGCTATCAGTTAGATAAGCGATTTTATTAAAGAAACATCGTTTCTTTTCGTTCTCTACGTCGTAAAGTTGATAGAGTCGACCCCAATTTTCCTGGGTGCTCTCGTGATACGAACTAAAAATTCGTGACGTCAATCGTGTGTATTGTCTAAATGTATAAAATACATGGTTTCTGGGTCACTGTAAATGAAAGAGGTCCAGATTCAACCGAATTTCAAAATAGCGATACGAAGAAATGTATATTTTCATTCGTCTATCGTGTCTGACCATGACCTGGGTAAATCTACTTGTTCCTCAAGTGGAGGAACAATGGTCAGGCAAGTAGAGAATGGAATTGCAAAACGATTGCTTCGATACCAACGACTATATACTATCCTTCAATGTCTTGAGTTCCGGATGGCCATAATTCAGTAACAAAAACAAGTTCAATCTCGTTGGATCTCTGTGAAGACGTTACATCCCAGGACCGTCACCCTTAACCCGAACAGGAAGTGAAGGGTGATTTAGCCCTTCCCTCAGCACTAAGTATATCGGCTTCAGCACCAAAATCGATGGGGCTGTCAGGGCCGCAGGCGTCGGGAGTGGTGGCTTCTGGCATGTCCAGTTCTTTTGTATCTGTAGTCACGGACGATTGGGAGTGATCAGAGAAAAGCAATCAAGATCCTGAAGTATCCTGAAAAAATTATATTTGAATTTTAAATTTGCCATAGATGCTGAGAGGATGAAATCTGATTTATCTGACATATTGATTTAAATCATGTATTAGCAACAATTATTGTCCATAGATTTTGTTAGTAGAATATTTCTTAAAATGCTTGAAAACTTTGTCACTGGAAACAATTTCCTTTACACCGTGAGAATTGATCGCGGATCCCTCATTAAACATTCGTTTCTCGTTAAAACCAGAACGCGATTCAGCTCCTTAATTCGACGATGAGAAGTAATTAAGCAACGGGACGAGGATTGAGAGAGGGATACCGCCTTACGGCAAGGAGGCACTTTGTTTCGCAGTAAAACTGGTTTAATGACTTCATGTAAAAATACCCCATCGACTTTACGATATAGCTTCTCTCCCTCTTTCTCTTCATCTACGATCCTCCGCGTCTCCTTCTCTTGGGGTTTTCGGCTACGACCATAATTTTATAGTTTTATGTAAACTGTATCGGGCTATGAAACACGCTGGTAGCTACGATGCCTTGATGGTGATTGGCGTGCACCATAAGATAGAAAGAGGATTCTACGGCGTATAAAATTTTCACGACACTCACTCTCGGCTGGCTTTGACACACAATTCTTTTTCGCCTGCCGCCT